ATAAGTAGGGATGATTATGATTGTCTATCATCAATTAGGTGAAGAGTTTGTCAACCTTCTCTTGCCCTCCTAGTTTTATATACCGCTGGGTTCCGTCCGTTTTTTTTCGCTCGTTGCAGCGCTAAAGTGCTCCCTTTCGCGCCGAAAATACCTCTTGGGAGTCATGCATGAATCCGACCCCTGAAAAGTTCTAGCGCGTTTCAGTGCGTACTGCGTGCTGGTCTGGTCCACAGACCGCAGAAGCTGCATTCATAGTTTGCGTCAGCATTTCGAGTGTACGGCAGCGTTTTGGCTACTGGGGAAGTGCAGATATGCGAAAATGCTAGAAACCTCATCGTGCGTTCAAAACGCTGGACGATACCTATATTTCCCCAGTCGCTCAAAACGCTGCCGCATGCTCGGAACGCTGACGCAAAGTATGAACGCTGCCTTATTGTTGTGAAAGTATCAGCTCGCTCAACGGTTCTATCACAAAGAGCGTCTGCTATAGATTAACTGGTCTTCCTAAATACTTATAAGGTTTATCGAATATTTAGCCATTTGACATTGAACCACGAATGCGTATCTCTTGTTTGCCTGATGGTGGACTGGATGCAGAAGATCTCACTGGAGAGGAATCAGCTCCTGCTTCGGTTCGACGAATCACTTCGTTCATTGATACTTCTACTTCCTCCAATCCGCTACTGGTACGTTCCCAAGAGCTTTATGAAATTTCATGCATTCGTCTTTGCTCCGTTCAAAAGCGCTGAATTTTTTTTATTTTTTCAGGTGCGTAAGCGCAAATTCGGTATTTCGTCGTCTCAAATTGATCTCGTGCGTTCTCGAAAGAATTAGATTCTTATGACTCATTCCTTTTTTCACTGCTGATACGATGTAGTAACCCATTGTATCTGAGGAGACACACTGAAGACATAACACAATTCACTTAATTAACTGTAGCTTTAGCGTTACCTGTTTTGTTTTTGGTTCATATCAAACACACTGGCAAGAATTTGGAGTACTCGCATAGTTGGTCTAATTAACAGAAGTACAATTTACTTTTGCACTATTACCGGTAATTTCGTATAGCAATCATCGCCATTGGTTTTTTGATACATTTCAATACGTTGCTAATAAATTCTACTATACATGAATTCAGTGTTTGAGTGTCTGTCTGGCAGTATGTCACAACATTCATAACAATTGTCGCAGCAACAATGGCAAGCAAGAAATGATGAGGGGACATTTGTGATGGGTGACAGGAAGTGGTACAACTGGTAAAGTTGACAGGGAACCTTAACAAATACCGTACCGTTACCGTTTGCGCTTGTGGCAATTTTCGTCATGGTGGTGAAACTTCTTCATTGCCAATGGTCAAGGTTGGAGCGGGAGCATTAGCGACTGGATTAACTACACTTCAGCAATTATAGCTTGAGTAGATGAACGGGTCTCCTGTAGCGGTT